CCGCGCTGCTCACTTTTGTCGCGAGCCGCGTGCCGCGTGAGCAACAGATGACTCGAGCGACATTGCTTTCATCCCCTCGCTCTCATCCAACGATATGCTACGTTGCAGTGTGTCCATATCTACCAGTTCAGGTTGGACTAATGTACCGAATGGATTGCCGCGTAAGTAGCACGCGATAAAAGTGGGCAAACGGGTCAGCGTTATTCACGGTCAACCGTCGCGTTCGCAGTTTTCCACGAAATTTGCGATCCCCATTTCCACCATCAGCCTTAGAAGGTTCGTAAGGACTCCTACCCCCGCCCCTATCACCACCCTTCGCACAGTATTTCATTCTGAGACGAGTCGACACCAGCCCAAATCCGCCCACTTTTTTCCTTTGTCCTCTGAAACGTGCTACGACCGTCGAGCCATGGGGGCTAATTTTATTCTTTTCACATTCTTTCGTGAAGTTCTTTGTCGCAGTTGTCGAAAAACCCGTCAAAAACGACCACCAACCCCACCATTTCAACTTCCACAAATTCAGCTCACATTCACACTTTTCCAAATATGTAACCTTACTCAATATGCGACCGTCATATATGCACTGCGCAATATGCACTTATTTTTCAGAGCACTGATGTTGCTGGGATATCGTCTATGCTGATAACACCATTCGGTGAGTTGCTTTACCTAAGGCAAGGCGGATCAGAACTACAACGTGCAACCATATCGGAACATTCGCTGCCGTGGACAATGCCTGGTCAAGGAAGTAAATGGCCAGAAGAAATCACCCCAAGTGACGTGACGTAAAACCATTCGAGAAAGCTTTTCTCTTTGCTGTTTTACTAGGCATTTACGTTGAGCGTCCTGGTTCTAGCTTCGCCATACGCCAAATTCAACTCGAATTATGGAGCACTTCGTTGCAGCTCTGACCATTTGCCTTTGAGCTGGCGCTTTACTCTTTTCCATGGTTTCTTTGGTTCTTCGGAAGTGATTTAGCCACAGCTCTTTTGGGCAAGATTGCAGGACCCGAATCGTAAAACACATAAATATTTCTTGCAAAGTAGGCCAATGGTAAGATAGCGCAACTTTTTTTTCACTAGCAGTAGGTAGATGCTCACCCTCTTTTTTTAATGCCTTATGAACCAGCGAGAGGAACGTTCCATTTCAACAGTTTGTTTTCTTCCCTGGTCTTCCTCCGATCTCTTCATTGTAGAAAAAGAGTGCACGTATTCGTTGTCTCTATCGTATTACTCGAACGTTCCAATCATTCTTGGAAGGCTATGCTAGCTTCTCGAAGCGCAATACATTCTTTGTTCTTTTTTTTGAGTCATACTGCTTTAATCCTTTCTGAAGATTGAAATGTGACGATATTCTCTTCGTTTTCGTGAACTATTTTGTGAACTCGCCTTCTTGTGCGACACCTCTTCAAGTGTTCATACAACTAAATTCTTTTGAATTCTAATGTGTTAAAACTTCCGGATTCGCATGGAACGCATAACCAAGGAATTCAATCAATTAGAACGATCTCAAGTAAGTGAGCCAGTGGTCATGCAGCTGTAAAGGTAGTGTGACAATAGGTTCGATAAAAGCGCACACAGTTGCCAGGAACGAGCAACACAGTATGAACTAGGGATGAGCGTTTCGAAGGCAAAGGGTAGTGGTGGGTGAGCGCTGATTTCGGTAATCGTCGAAACGTGAACTATTCTCAGAATTACCGCTGCAAATTTGTGTCAACACAAAAGCTAGGGTGGCACCCCTATGAGAAACGTTCTATCCTAGATTTAGCCCTCAGTTATGCGTTGCGAGCGTGAGAAAAAAAGTTCGTTGTTGTTTTCCTCATTGTTCACTTCGTGGCATCGGGAGGCACGTAAGGAACAGCGGCCGCTATCGCCAGATATGGAGGCGTCCTCTAGGGCTAAGCCCAGGAGGGGAGGAGGGCAGAAGCTCTAAGAAAAATGATAACTTCTTATGCGTCCTGAAGTCTCTCCTCCGCTAAGGCTAAGTCAAAACAAAGAAAGAGATGTTTGACGCGCTTTTAAATGCTTTGCAGACGCAATGCACCCGTATTTTGCGATAGCGTCAAGCTGCTTTTGTAAACCAACTGATGCCACACGTTTCTAGGTCGCGTTTTCTTGAAATGCGGCACTAAATTCCGCGTTGGAAACGGGAACTAAATGCTGCCACCGTCTGGCACTTAAACATTTTTGTAAGCGGTGACATCGTTTTATTGTGTAATTAGAATATAGCATTTTTTGCTGTAAAACGGCAATCATCTCGTCTGATTTGCAATTATATTTTTCCTTTAGAAATGAAAACTTGATTTTGCATATTGTGCCGTTATTTCTGCTTGAAATTGGAATCCCAATCTCTCCAGTCATGCCTTGTTACTCGCAGGTTGATGTTTGTTACTAATGTTTCTCTCACTCTAGAGGAAACCGGTTTAACATTCTATTTGTTTTGTTTCGTTCTTGTTTCTTTGAATATATTCAAACGCATGTGAATAGTTACATCTCCTTGTTTTGCTAACTATTTTCATGATTTTTTCGTGAGTCGTGATCAAGTACCCAATCATACGTTTACGGAATATGATATGTTTCTCTTACAATGAAATTGTGATCCATTTTGCGAAAGCCAAAGCTATGAAAATAAAGTGTAATCCTACTGTTCTGACGTTAACCTTTTTGGCTTTTTTGTGGTTACGAAGGCGACTGTGATGGGCCAAGGCTCTCAGTCAGGATCGTTGAAGCTAAATGGAGCGACTTGCACGCAATGTTGGAATCCTCGAGTCTCAAAGGTTAAAGGGCAAGCACCTGGGATGAAATGGGGTACATGGGCGCTTCGTAGTGATGACTGAGCTGCCAGTGAGCTGGAAGTGGAAAGGAGAACAAGGGAAATCATCGAGAACGCTAAAGGCCTTAAGCTATTGTAACGTGAGATATGGTACGACGGCGAATAAAAAATGACTTCTCGTTCCTAATAGTCGAGCTAATCCTAGGATTTGCCTTTAAACTTCACAAAAGTAAGGTCTCGTAATAGTCATTACTGGCGGCCTTGTTCGTTGCCAGTGCTGTCGATAGCTCCATACATGGCGTCTGCGCCCTCTCGTATGCGCCGTGTTCTCACCCCTATTCCCTCTCTTTGCAGTGCTATGTCTCTCCGTAGTACCACGGCCGATTTCACAAGGGAATTCCAGTGTTTTCTGGCGCTTTTTGCTTTTTCCATCCAGTAAAGTTCCTCATCGCTTTTTGTTAATTTTCGAACGAAATAACACGTCAATTCGATGATGACCCGTGCCTTTAAGGTGTTGAAAACGGTCTTAGCAATCATTTAAGTTTTCATGAAGTTTACTGGAGCAGTTTTTGTTGCTCGATGCTTTGAATGTTTTCACGTGTGTGGTTACATTTAAAATAAAGTGGAATGTTCAGTTTGAAAGATTGAAACAAAACAACTAGATGAGCTGCATAATGTTATTTATAATAATAAGCACGAATCACATATGACATCATGGCGAGTTGAAGTTGACTGGACGAGGAGCAACGGCCGCTACTTTTTGTCCCATATATCGTTCGAGGAACTCGGAGTGCTTCTTCAGGACGTTGCTCACACTATCCTTCCTGATATATCGAATTTGTGGGTGGAAACAATGCAAAGCTCTCAGTACTAATCATAGAACGGGAATACTGTGTACAGGGACCAGTCGGTGAAGTTGGGAAATTAGTTGTTATCTTACCTTTGAGAAAATTCTTGATCGTTGTACGAAGGGGCGAAACTGGGATCAATAGCAGATGCAGGCTTGTCGAGCACGTATTCCCGGTTCTAAAAGTGAAATATATAAGAAGCTTAGGTAGAATGCCTTGATAAATTCTACTTGACTGGTTTCAGTACTTATGAATCAGAAGCCGATGACATCATTAGGAAAAAACATGTAGAATGCACTGATCTCCAATCAGCTCGAACACAGACGTCTGAGTGGGGCCTTATGGGAATTTTATCTCGGCCATTTCCCTTAGTCTGTTGAAGTGAGGTCAATCGGTTGTAAATCAAGTGGCTGCAACTTTGCCATATCCTGTTCTGTGATTGATCAGCAAATAAATGAAACATTAAAGACACGGTATCTGTTCGTTTTTGTCCGAGTTTTTGGGTCCAACCATGAAAAGGCGCTTGCTAAGTGGAGAGCTCTGACCGTGCAGGACTGAGTTTTTTTGACCTTCCTCTATTTGCGGACCTAGTAGTACTTCCTGTGGTAGTATTATACTTTTTTTTTCTTGCCGTCCACCCTCTCGTACAATATCTAACTGGTCCTGCTCACCATGAGGTGAATTAGCGCAGCTCTTTAGGTCGAATAGCTGTTCCTTCTATCCATCCTTTCAACAACACCTTCGCGATAAAGAACTATAGCAGGCGACCATAAAGGGGAGGGAGGTATCGTAGGATCATCATTAGCCCAGTCGCGACCGCGCAGGATTGCGCAAAAGTCAAGAGATTTTTCTTCAATAAAATTTGAGTGGAGATTTCCTCTGCCCAGGGCTGGCGTAGATGAAGGGTATGAAGATTCTTTTCAGGAAAGAAAACTTTCCAAATTCTAT